AGAGAGGGGGAAGGGATCTCCAGCCGGGTTATTCATACCATGCTGACGTCAGGTCCAGGGGCAGAACCTTTTCCTTGCTCCTTGGCAGGTTCGGGAGGGAATTTTGCTTTCCGTAGACCAGCTAGCGGTATTTCTCTGTATATCGTTTGTCTTGTTCACTGTTATTGCTATTTATTGTTGTTACCATTGATACTGTTGTTGTTCAGATTGTTCTATCACTCCGTTGCATTAAATTTCTTGTTATTTTAGCCGGGGCCTGTGTCTAACTTCCAGCCTGACCGGCGCGGGTGGGGGAGGGGCAACGGCAACATGGTCCCTGATCCCGGCAACAATTAAAACTTGCACAGATCTGTAAGAATCAACTTTTTTTTAAAAAGAGCACCTGAATCTCACAGTTAAATAACTACACTTTAACTGTTATGAAAAAGAAAATAAATGGAATTAGAATCTTTAGAATCCCTTCCTGTTTCAGAACTTCATCCTCTTGCTTATGACCACAAAGCAACAATCAGGGCTGCATCTTCCATTACTTCCTCTACCAAACTAGAACAATGCTATCACAAAACTGAGAATGATTATAACAGTTGCACCACGTCACCTGCAGCTATACCTTTCCCCCTCTGCTTTCCATTAATCTGCACTTCTGTGATTATCACAGGATGTAGTCTTGACAAAGACTAACTCATCTAATTTACAATAATATGCCAAGAAAATCAGTATCTTGAGCTTAAGAACCATCAGACACACTAGTTTTGGTGGTCAATGCTAGTGGATGTCTCACAAAACACACCCATCTACTTCTGATATTTGTCAGCTTGCTTTGACTTTTAAAGGAATCATTATTAAAATCTGTTTCCATTCTTGAACAAGCTATTATGAACTTCTCAGGCTGAAATCAAACATCTCTTTCTGATCTGGGACCCTATTGAGCTGCTTGTCATAAAACACAAAAAATTGTCAACACAAGTTGCTGTGTATACCTGCCACTTATTCAGATCCTCAGATGCACATGTAGAGCCTGTCTTGATACATCCATTTCTGAAAATACCATACTCTAAACAAGATCCAAACTCTAATGCAGCTGCAGACCAAAATGAGTAAGCCCAAATTCCACTAAGCCCTTATGCTGAGAATTTTTAAGTAGCTGGAGGCCTCTATAAAGTAAAAATCAGTCAGCAGGAAGCTGTGCCACAGCTGGAGAACAGTGTCCACACAGAACTCCTGGTCACTACCACAAAAAAGCAGAATGCTCTTGGTGACACTTTCGGTGGATGGTTGTCACAGGAAATATTAGCAAAGAATGAAGAGACAGAAGCTACAATGTATGGAAAAAGCAAATAAATATGCTGATACTTACATGTACCAGGAAAGATTCTACTTGACTTGTACAAAAAAACTCAAAGAGGCTCTTGCTGCCTGTGGCTTCAATGCAAGGGAAGTAGAGAAAGGGCTGCAGCTTTTTGTTTAGGAAATTTCAGTTTCCTTGTTTCATCTCTGCTATAGACCTAAATAGACCCTAAGTCTGCACTCTTCCGCACCTGTAGCAAATACAAGGGCAAAAATAACACCAAACAAATGACAAGCTTTTGGCTAACAGTATTAACTGCAATCTTTCTTAGGTGTAAAAAGTGAAAGGAAGGAGACATCTCTTTGATCTTGCAAAGCATTGCAATCTCTTATAAGTCTACTAAGGACTAAATTTAGGACGCTATAAAGATAAGGCACATTATTTTAGGTTGCCCTTGATTTTTTTTTCCTTTTTTAAAAACACAAATCAAACATGTATTTCCAGAATAAAGATAATCAGTTCCAGTCAAGCTCAAAGGATGTCTACTCTCAACTGCAAAACAAGAGTTTGGATCTTGTTATTGAAATACATAACTAGCCCTATATCTGACAACAAATGATTTAACTGATTATCCACGCTGTTACTTATGAAGGAAGCAATGATTTACGCAAGTCTGCCATGGCTCCACAGATGACTGCACAGGAAAAATAGAACACCGCAGGACTGGTAACACAAGATGTGCCCAACATTACTGGTAGTCTTTTCACAATTTTTTAAATTAATTCATCTACAACCAGAAGTTTAATCTCAGGTTAAACTGTTGGGAAGGAGGTCAGAACTGCACCAGGCTGGTAAATAAGAACCACAACCCCACCTCAATAATTTCCTATGCCTTATTCAATCTTTTCTATCAAAACAGCATTTTTGTCTTACCACAATATTCTGAATTTAGTTTCAGGAAGTCAGTACTATGTGCAGAACACAGCATTTCTGCACATTCAGACAGCCATAGGAAAGTAAGGCAGGAGTTATTTGCTTTGTTTTAAGGATCATCTACAGGTCGGTATCGTACTGAGGTACTGAGCAAAACAAACCTCCTGTTCTCACTGCCATGGTAAGCCTAGGAGAGAATCAGGCCTAGTAATAGGAAACAGTCCTTAATACAGCTTACCAAAACATCATCTCTTTTAAGGAATTAATTCTACTGATCTTTGGTAAAAAGTGACTGGCTGTGCAAAGTGGCCTTCATAATAGATAAGATAAAGAAGGAAAAATTAGATGAGCAGTGAAATCCAAGGGATTACCAGAAGTGTCAGGATCAAGGAAAGAGCAAAATACTGAAAATCACACCTATTTAAACTCTAAGATAAAGGCTGACACATACTGAACAATTTGCAAGCTTACCTCTAGAATGGCTGTGGAATACACAACCCATGCTAAATTCAAGGCAAGTTTGGGACACAGCATCACTTGAGATGATGCCCTTTATTATTGCTTCTGACATGCTCTGCATTTCAGAATCAACCAGGGGGTTGGAAGGAAGGAAGATCATCTTCCACTGGGCAAAGACAGCAAGTGAACGTTCTTCTTCACCAAGGGATTGCAGTTTCCTTGAAGAATGTTTTCAATTATTCAAAACCAGCATAGCACACAGCATCAAGATCCTAGACCCTGAAGCTCTCTGAACTTGGCAAGCTCCTTCAGCTCCTGGCAGTATAGTGTGAGCAAAGTCTAGATCCAAGATTACTAACTTCATAACTTCTGGATCTGTCAGAGTATTCTCCCCAAAGTGCGTATGTTGCATGCAGGACACAATTATACAGTACAATTTGTAAAAGTACAAGAAATTCCTAAGTGTCACTCCAGTCCACAAAAACCATCCACAGCCAGCACTGAAAAATAATTGTGTGCCTTGCTGTATGTGTAGAAGGAAGCAGAAACACTACTGAAAAACTTACTCCAGTGGCTAGACCAGAAGGTATCAGGGAACAGTTTCAGGATCATTAGGTTCTTCAAGCTGCAAGGAGCAGCAAGGAGTAAGGAACCTGGCAGCATAGATATTTATTAATCACCAGACATAAAAACTACCTGTCCCCAGTCCGTTCCCCGCCGCCCCCCGCCCAGTAAGCTGTCTACCAATTAGTTTGTTGTGTTTTGTTTTTGTTTTGGTTTTTTTTAAATCATACCTGTAACTCAAATTCTTCCTTGTATTCATGATACAAGTCAGGGACTTCACAATGAAAACAAAGTCAAACAAACAAACAAACAAAATCATACCTTCAGCATGAAAGAGACTGATATTACCATCTAAAGCTAAGATTTAGTCAGCGTAAGCACAACACCCAGTGTTTTCAGTGCCAAGCTCTATACTGTGTGTCAACTGTCAGAGAGACAAATGGGGCTGGAGCTTGATGTATCAACTGTCAAATCAAATAGATGAAGACACCAACTTTTCAGTTTATTTTTAAAATAAATTTCACACATGGATGACTAGCAAGAAAAGCAGGTTCATACATTAACTATAAGCTACTGAACAATCCTCTCTATTTCTTAAGTAATTTGAGTCAAAACTAATGCCTTATTATGAAAGACAAGTCCTACTAGATCTTTCTTCAAGATAATTTTTTGGTTCTAAGTTAGGGCATCAGTTCTGAAACACTCCTTCCTATTATGGGAGGATTTTATAGATACCACTGCAATTAAAAAAACCAACCCTTTTTTCCCATAAAATTTGTGACTATATAGCATTCTCCCAGGAGACTTTCATAGGTTTTTGCATTTCACAAAAGTTTTTGTTAAAGCTAAAAATTTTGATGGTGGTAGTTCAAGGCAAGGTTCCCATGATTAAATTTTCAGTGAACTTTGCCTAATTATCACTGATTTATTCCATCTTAAGAAAGATTAACCGGGATTTTTTCCCCCTTAAACATAAATGGATCCAAGTACACGTTACATCAATTTCCTTCCTTTTACAGCCATGCAATCTTAATAAAGCTGAACTGTGAATCATACGATATCTGTGGTCTAAATTCAACTCAGAAATTATTTCACCACTTCTTTTTGAAAAACAGTACACATTTATATTGGACCAGTTTGTTAATGTGTAGAAATTAATACTTTGGTTTTATCAACCAAGTCAAACATTACACTAAATTAAAATTTTTGAAAAGTATGAAGGAGGAGTTACCTGTTTACCAATTCTAACTTTACAATGAACACTGAAAATGCAGTCAGTATGTCTGTTGCTTAACAATCACAAATTTTACAGAGGAGTCTGAAAGCTAGCAGGCTCTTCTGCAAGCATTTGGTTCTCTGAGAAAATACTGATTTATAAAAGGCCTCTAACAAAATACCACAGTCTTAACAGACAGTTTACAGTTTAACACCTGTAACAATAATACTTAAAACAGGACTTACAACATAGGTAATGGAACATAACTTGGAGTTATAAAGTGACTTTAATCCTTTATGATGACATCTTAAAAAGTATTTGGATATAAGACTTTCAAGCTCAACTTAAGAGGTCAACACCTTAACTCTTAGAGAAGTCATTTGCTGTTTACAAACCTTGTACTATTCACCCTTAAGACTCACTGCAGTATCAGCTGCATTAAGTATGAAAAACACATCTCCCTGTCTTTTCAATAATCTGTTCCATTTGAAGTTTTTGACAGCCAAGATACACGTGAAGTGAAAAGAAAGTTAAAGTCAGTCAGCACTGTTCAACATCCTTTTAATCTCAACCAAAGAAAAATAATATAAACATGTTAACACAAACAGAAAATGTCCTGGAAAAGACCATATGGTACTATGACAGGATTTTAGTTTATAGAAATGTAATTATAATTTTATAAAAATTATATGAAAGAATAACAACATCTTTCAGTAACATCAGACAGTATAGAAAAAATAAATCTCAACATTAGTTGTACTCTGATGGTTCTAGTAAGAAATTTAAAAGTGCTTTTTAATAACAGTGTTACAACTCAAGATTAGTGCAATATGTCAAATCTGTTTTAAAGCAGATATTTATAGCAATTATGCAAGTTCTTACAATTAACAAAGCCCAATCTAAAAATTAACACTAAGTGAGGTAAGTATTCTAATTAGAATTAAACATTCCTTAAATAGCTTACACACCAATTCTACTGCAAGGAAAATAATGATGTTCCTTCATAGAAAGGCTCAAACCTAAATATGACATGAAACTTGTACTACAAATCAGTGAACAATTGGAATTTAAAAAACTCTTGCAAAATATACAGTTTAGTACGTTTACAACCCAATGCTCCAAACAGTACCTAATGCAAAATATACCAGCTTAAATAAACTCAAACTTTACAGTTAGTGTACTGAATTTGCTTTTGAATACACTGTTTTGTTCCCAAGTCCTCCTAGAAGCTCCCATATAAAGTTAGCACATCAATTTAATGTAGAAATTTCACTGTATTTTTATCTGTAAATACTAACAATTTGGTCACAAACTATGACTGCAACTATGAGTACCGTTACTCTTCAAGCAAGTGAAAAAAACAAAGCATTCGTTGGAGAAAAAAAGATCAAAATTTACTCTTCACTGTTTTATACATGACAAGCTGGCAATAATAAAAAATACCCTATAGTTCTATATAATGTTTTCTGCAGGAATTTTCAGAACTCTAAAATTAGTTTTCGTTTTATTGTAGTTTCTTTACTCTGTGATTTACGATGCATAGTAACTATTGCCTTTTATATGCAGGCCTCATTTTAAGAGAGGCAAAAACTAGACTGTTAATGCTGAGCCCTTATGGCTCATTTACATACAGAGCCAAAGGCAGTTCATATTTTATTTCTCAAGGTGTTTATAAGTAGGATTTAAGTCACTATCAACAACAGGAATAGAATATAAATTAATGAACTTTCCTTCTAATAGGCTATGGCTTAAAAAGCCTACTAACTGAACTCTTTTTTTATAGTATTGCACTTAACTTTAGTATTAAACTAACAGTTAAAGTCCACACAGAACTCATTTTATAACAATATTTCAATTTAAAAAAAAAGCAATAAATAAAATGTAGTATCTAAAAAAAATGCCAGAAGTTTAGTCCTTTCTCCCACCACAGTCTGAACTGCATCATCTGAAATAGGTCTGGGACAGTATTTGGATACCAACTACATAGTTCTTTCAATATAATAGACTAGCCATAACAATAAGAAAAGCAATTAAAGTTTTCTACAGTAATATTATAAACTGACAGTACCCTTGAGTATATATCTCAAATAGCTTAAAAGGACTTGTTGCCTTTGCTCAAGATAGCTTCAGAAATTAGACACAATTATTCTGTGACTGCATATTCTCTCTACTGTTATTTTACAAGCAAGTTGAGTCCTTTTTAAATATGTTATATTAACCCTGACAATGATGTGGAGACTTCCTGCTCCTAAATCAGGAAGTTGCTTCCTAAAATTTAGTTAAGTTATCACTGCAGTGACAAGTTGGTTAAGTCTTTAGCAGAGTCTCTAATCATCTGTTCTACCTTGGGATTTCCAGCTCCACTGGTTGCCAGATCCTTGTCAATAAGCCCCAGGTTATGCAAATTGAGGATGGAATCTGCAATAATCCGCGCTGTCCTCTTCTGGTAACCTCCAGATGTTACCATCAGGATTGGGATTCTGCGGCTTCTGGCAGCCTTGAACACAACTTCATCTCTCTTCACAATTCCCTGTGAAGTTACAACAGTTAAAAGTAGTGATACAAACACAGTATTTTAGTTCTTGCCTGTGGTTTATGGATATGTACTGAATGCTTGATGAATGATTAAGCCCTACATTTTACAAGATGACTAAAAAATTCATTTAAAAGTCCTGTTAGCAGATTTACATGCATAATCATTTAAAAAAAAGGAAAAACATCAAATCAAAAATCATTGAATTGGTTTTAGATGACACAACAGATGTATAAATTCAGTATAAATTCCTAGAAGAATTTTTGCTTAAAAACTATAAAGTCTAAACTGACTACAAAGTTTAGAAATATTCACCCTATTTCAAATGTGAAGAACTGAGACTCAGAAAGATTGTCTGAATTCAAAGTGCTTTAGTTTGTGCTCAAGTTGCATAGCACCCTCTGACAAAAGTTTGGCAATTTGATCCAAGATTTCACAAATCTACAGAACAACCAAAAATTCTAATCAGAATTTACACGTTCACAATCACTAGCTGAATTTTTAGCTTTCAGCTTCTTTAATAAAAGGCTAATACTGAAAGAATCTATGGCTGAATGGCGAGTTGCAGAATGTAAGTAATGGTAAATCCATAAAAAGGAAAATAAATTCTAAATAACCTCTTACTAATAGAGAAAGGTATGGAACTAAAAAAATAACCAAGCTTGCTGACCAAGAGATACTGTACTGTCATTGAACCCATACAACTGAAGACTGAGCCTCCTGGATACATACTGGGGGCAGGTGACGTGGGGAAGATAATTCTGAAATAAGTGAGAACAGAATTAAAATCTACTTCTGTGGAAAAAGTAAAAGCAGAGAGTCCCAGAGATACATAGAAGACATAAATAATCCATTACAACTCCTCAAAAAAAAAAAAAAAGACTAACAACATAAGAGACAACTGTTTATAATGGACAGCTCAAAATTTAAGTAACTGCAAAAGTTGGAGAAGGGGAAAGGGATTAAAATGCCATCAAATACAAAAAAAAATAAGGAAGCAGCAGCAAAAGTGTCATAATGAAATGAATATGCACTACTCTGGCTGGTTAGAGGAAGACTGTAAATACATCAAGAAATATTACCCTGCCATTAAAAAAAATGACCACAAACAAATGGTAAAAGGAAAGAATAAAATTCAAATGTAGCTGAAAACATATTTTGTAAAACCATACAACAGTAATGGGTTTTGTATAGTTTGACACAGCCCTGTAAAAGAACAATGGGAATAAGGAATAACTGAAAAATAAGACAAAGGGAACTGAAGAATTATATTAGGAACAGATCCTTAAAGGAAGTAACAGAATTACAGAATGAACTGTACATCCCCTGGGAACCATCATGGGATGCAGCAGACATTATACCACACAAGAACTGGAAGCAGTCACTATTCACAGGAGCCTAACCGCCTTATCCCTACTCCAGCATCTTTAGTGGCTGAGCCTGGAAGAGCTGAGGGGAAAACACGTGGGCTTATTCCAGCATTTACATGTTACCAAGAAGAAAATACATCTAGTGAAAAAGACAGCCCAATACAGTTCCCTCTTACAAACAAAGAGACTTACCTGCTACACCTTAAGTTTTCTGGCTATAGGCTCAAGCACCAAGAAACTATCACTCATAGCACTCTGAGGAGGCATAATTTTGATTAGAATTAACCTTGTAGCAGGATTTTAACATATGAATGACATCATCAACTGTAGGACTGAAGACTGGACTAACGAACCTTGAAGAGAGGAATTATCCAGGCTCAGTGTCTTCACTTTTGGCATTTCCAGTAGCCCGGGATTTCAAGCTTGGTCAAGCATACCATTCATACCTAAGCCAGTAAGATCCCAGAGACAAGAAACCCTGCCCTCAGTTCAGAAAACAAAGGCTTGGGCTACAGAAACCTTTTCTCCATCAGGCACCTGAGCCACTGGTTGTGCAGAAAAATGGCACTCCACCTTTCATCTCTACTTGTGACCAGAGGAATCATTTCACCCTTTTTTCCCCCATCCCTACATTTTGTTTCTCTCCCTACCTAGCACCCAACAAGCTACAGCAACTAATTTTTCTCAGCCATTAACATTGCTCCTTCTCAAATGGCAGAAAAAATTTTGAGAAGGCATATCTTAAAAGTATTCTTGTCTATCACTAGCTTCCATTTCTCTTGGGGGGGGGTCTCTACTTTCCAAAAAATATCTGCTCCACCAAATGAGATCTTACATATCAGGTCATACCTTCTCTAAGGTCAAAATCCTAACAAGTCCAAGCCCCTCAGCTCTTCCTTTCTCCCTGGAGACTTTTACACAGACATGGAAACAAAACCTGGAGATTCAGGGTGGCTCAGAAGCCATTCCGCCCACAGTCCACCAAGGACTCTGCAGGCAGTCAGAAAGCAACAAAGTGGCTGCTCAGTGACAGAAGGTATGAAAGAGGAAATACTGGGCTGTTCAGAAATTAATTGCCGATTTCAACCTGTATGTTTGAAGTGGCATATCTCAGCTCACAATAAAATTTATTAATTGAAATAAAACCCATTATAATCAACACATTTTTGCCAACGAGAAACAAGCATATTTATTCCAGTTGCATAAAATTCTGGAATTCTGGAGGCGATGAAGTCACCGAAGGCAATTTTGGCCTCCCCTTGGTTTCTGAAGCGTCTCCCGCACAGGAAGCTGTCGAGATGCTTGAAGAAGTGATAGTTGGTGGGCGAGAGGTCTGGTGAGTATGGTGGATGAGGCAGAGTTTTGTAGCCCAGCTCATTCAACCACTGCAGCATCAGAAGTGCAACATGTGGCCGCGTGTTATCGTGGAGAAGGATTGGACCCTTTTTTTTGACCAGTGGTGGCACAGCTGCTAAAGTTTCTGGTGCATTTCATTGATTTGCTAGACGTACTTCTCTGCTCGTTTCACCTGGATTCAGGAAGCTGTAATGGATTAAACAAGCAGCAGACCACCGGACAGTCAGCATGACCTTCTTTTGGTGCAGATTTGGCTTTGGGAAGTGCTGCGGAGCTTCATCACTGTCCAACCATTGAGCTGATCGTCGCCAGTTATCATAGAGCATCCATTTCTCGTTGCATGTCACAATACAGTCGAGAAACGGGTCGTTCTGGTTGCGAAAAAGAAGTGTCGATGACACTTCAAAACGGCAATTTCTGTGATTCTCATTCAATTCGTGTGGTACCCATTTGTTGAGCTTCTTCGACTTTCCAATCTTATTCAGATGCTCAGAAACAGCTGATATGCTTACCTCGAGTTCTTTTGCAAGTTCTTGAACAGTTGTGCGTGTATCTGCTTCCACCAGAGCCTGCAATTCATCATCGTCAATAACAGAACATCCGCAACCTTCTTGATCTTCAAGGTTGAAATCACCACGTTGAAATTTTTGGAACCAAAGTCGCACTGTCCATTTGTTAACACTTCCCTGGCTATATACCTCAATTGATGTTTTGAGCAGCTTGTGCTGCATTACGTCCAAGTTTGAACTCGTGGATCTGTCAAAATTGCTGTTTTGACATCTGAACTTCAAACCTCCAAAATTTGTCAAAAAAACAGTTTATATTATAATTATACAGGGTGAAAGTTCATAACATGAGCTTTTCAAAAATATGTAACAGTATACCAGTCGAGAAGGTACTATTCCTGAAACATATACAATGAAAATCACATTACAAAATGGAAATTAATTTCCGAACAGCCAATACATGAAGAAACCAATAAAACCCAGCAAGGAACTAGAGCTACGTGCAAAAGGAAGCATTTAAGTACTACAAAACAGAATGAAAACTGAACAGATCAAGTGATGGCTCAATTAGAAGGGGATCTGAGAGCCCATAAATGAAGAAAGCACTTTTCTGTATTGAACTGGTGGACACTAAAAGAGGACCAATGTGAAAACGAGAGAGAGGCAGAAGCAAAAGAGAAGGAAAAAATGAAGGCAATATGAGATCTGTAAATTTTTCTTTATTTTGACAACAACAGACTTGTTATATCTGCAAGGTGAAGACATCTATGAAGCTATACAGAATAAATTAAAATTTAAATCTGCTACCAAACTGGGGAGAGAGAAGGTAAACTGAATTGAGAAAGGGTAATGATATTTGTATAGAAAAGAATGAGAAAAGGGAAAAAATAGTACACAGACAGGCTGCACAAAATTGCTACAAATGGAAGAAGCCAGAAGAGCATTAAAACAGCTGGGAGGGCTACAGAGGAAATAAAGTGTAAGATACATACTGGGGGCAGGTGACGAAATACATCACAAAATGGGTTATGTGAAGGTAAAGGAAACAAAGAAAGATAGAACCAAACAGGAAAAATAGGAGTCAGGGGAAGTGTGAAAATACATGCATCTCTGGTTACCGTCTGGATCAAAAAGTCAGTATATTTTAGAAAGAAAAGTGATACTGAAACAGGCACCTAAAGAACAAAAATATTTAGTCAGTTGTTTTTAGACAACAAAAAAACATATGGTAAAAGAGCAAGGAGATGCACCTATAACAGGAAAATGCTCTGGTTTAGCATAAAATATGCACCTTATCTTCATCTAACAAAGAGCCACGAGTCACTCTCAGACTGCCTTCAGTATTTAGTGAGGAGTAAAAGTCTGTAGGTATTTTAGTATTATACAAACCTGAGGCGAAATAGCAAGTCCTCCCAATGGATCACCATCCAGAATATCAGTCCCAGCATTATAAACAATGATGTCGGGTTTTAATTCATTTAATGCTCCTTCCACGTGAGTATGTACCTTCTGAAGATATTCTGTGTCCTCTGTACCCCACTCTAATTCCACTTTGCGTTTTATGGCACCTAAAAAAAAAGTTTCGCTATGACTCAATAAACAAAGAATTGCTTTGAAAGAAAAATTCAAGATTTAGGTAGGCAAGAGAGAGATAACGTTTCTGGAAATTTTGTAGATACATTTTTCTTGCCACAGAACCTTGAATGAAAGAAAATTATTCAACTACTTGTTTTCCCAGCAAATGTAAGCACAATGACCTTGAAAAAATTCCACTGAAGAGAGAAAATAAGATGTAGGGAAAAAGAAAACTATCTTGTAGACAAGTGAAAAATGTTATTGAAAAGTAGTTGATCTACATGTCCATTTACCAATCAGCAAAGAAATCATAAAGGAAATTATTAAGTTAAGAGTAATCTAAATAAAGCATAAGAAAACACTGAACTGCTATTGCAGAGGAAATAGTTGGGGGAAAACACAAGATAAATATCACTGAGAAATTAAGACGTTTTATTTTTATCACAACACTCAAAACTTAATAGTAAGGGATCATGAATTTATGTGAACTGCTTTATGAATGTATAACAAGATTCAGCTTTGCCCCAAGCATTTTCAATTTTATGTTCTTACCCTCTAATCCTACCAGGAGAGCAAGTAGCTATCCTTAATTTAAATCAAATTATTTCTAACACTTCTAATAAAGCATTAGAAGCAAGAGGATTGAGAATGTAGAGGAAGGAAACCCAAGGTTATGCAGCTTAGCTTTGCGTGCTTTTAGAGTTATGTGTAACTCTAAACCTGAATTAAATCAAACCTATGACAGAGGTGTTTTAAGGTATAACTTCCACCTCACCATACCCTATGCCTTGAATTAAATGACTTGGAGTCTTAAATCTTGTGTGGATTCAGCACCCACCAAGTGTGCATGAATGCATTCAACACAATGACATTTATTGTTGTAACTGCTGGGTAGGGGTTTTTTTTCTGCTTTCCATCCTTGTTCAACATTAGTGAAGAATTCTTTTTCTTTATTTTATTGCATCAACATTAGTTTCAGAGATTTTTTTCTTTCTTTATGATATCTTTCCTGAATTATTTTCTTATTGTTGTATAAATGTTCATGTAAGTCTGCACAGCTGTGCTCTTCTGAACAGCACTTAGAGCTTCTTCAGGGTAAAGAATCTGCTGGCTGGCTGGAGCTTTGGAGGAGGAGGTGGTAAACACATTAGCATGGGGAACAAATAAGTATTGTTCTGATGAAACCATTAAGAAATTGAGATGACTGACTCAGATTCAATACTTCTGCAGGTCTCTTGTATTCATCTCCACCACAAAACACAGAATTACAGCGATTACTTATTACCCAGATCAAGGACTACTGATGGACACCATGATGAATGTGTAGGTTAGAATGAACAAAGCTTTTGCATTTGAAAGCCCTTTGTTCATCTCCTGCTAATTAGTGAATGTACTTCTACAGCTTTGAAAACTGTAAAATGACACTCAGACCAACAGCAACACTTTTTTAAGGCCTGAGCTTTTGAGTTTCAGCTGCCACTTTTTTTATGCTCACCCTTCAGTGAACTAGTCCTTTTCCCCATCCATCTCCTCCTTTCTCTTCCTAAACTTCTGTGCAATTCCATAGTATTTCCCCTTAGGGACTCAATATGCTTATGGCTAAGCATTAGGCTATGTTAGCTAGTTTGTTTGGGGTTTTGGTTTGGTTTTTTTTTTCCTTTTTTTTTTCCCCTTAATGAAGTACATGTGGGAAAAAAATGTACAGAATAGACTCCTACAATAAAACATGGAGAAAATTAGTAGGAAGCCCAGGGAGACAGAGGCAAAGTTTACCCTAAGGATTCAAATTCTCCAGTTGAAGCCTCTACCTCCCTTCAAGAAGATTCCCTCTCTGATCTCACCTTCGTCTGGTCACCTAGCAGGAGAGTGTGTAAGGATTTGGCCACTGAACTCCTACTTGGACAACTTTATGCAAACTACGATGAACTATATATTCACATGCCTTTGGCCGTGGCCTTCTGCGCCTCATGCTTCATCTGTAGAAAGGCAATGCTAGTATTCCCAGCTTCACAGGAGAGGGGAGAGGTCAGTATTTCATATTTCCTAACAAGGGCTTATTTTGTTCTGGTGTTAATCCATCTGTTCAAAATGTTGCCATTTGATATATGAAAGGGATGTTTTTCTTAGGAAAAATATAATCTTCATTTGCTTGCAATTTGTCTGCTTATAGACTTTTCTTAGTAGTCATTTTTTAGTTTAATACCTTGAAATTCATATATTACGGTTTTCAAAATCTTTACTAGTTAAAAAAGTACAATGCACTGCACCTAATTCTTGCCAAGAATCCAAATTAAGTAGGCTTTTCAGAATGACAGCATCATTGAAGAAATTCAGCAGCAGAACATCTCCCCCAGTAAACCATGATTCAGCTAACAAATTAAGCCTGTAATAAATGACAGTGTTACAAAATCAAAGATCAAAAACTTTGGGCTTTTGCATTTGAATTTAACCATTATCAAAACCCCACTAATTAATTGTGACAGGTCATCAGACACAATAGTCACATCACAGTATGGATAAGCAAACAACAGCAAAAAGAATTAAGCAGCAGCTCTTAACATTTGTATGACTGTCTTCTGCATCCCAACTTGTCTCACATTCAGATGCATCTTGTTTCCTAGATGCTTATAAAACAAATTCTACTGGAAAGACAACACCTAAGTATGTTGTAACTTTAAAAACAGTACTAGCTAATCCTTAGTGAACCCTTTTATAAATTTAGTGTAAGGGAAAGATTAAGTTCTAACAATTATCTTCAAATCAAAAGGATTATTTAACTCTTAAGCGTGACATGACCTTTTGAATGCACTGCTGACAAAGTCCACAGAACACCCACACCTTGCATTCCAGAAATTCATTATGTGAGGGAAAACACTACATCATTAACAACACTGTGATATATCACAGTGATCACTGAAAACTGTATGTTCAATGTGAAATTAAAAAACATAATAATTTAAAGATCTAGTTAACATCATTACAAGGAAGCTTTAATAAGTAAACGAAGAAGTTACATAACAGCACAGTAGGTCTCTTACATCTTGGAATATGAATTTCAATTATACTTACGTTTAGCAAATCCATCCCCTGGATAAATATATCTATTGTACGCATCCATAATATATACCCGATGATCATCCATAAAGTCCCGCTCATGGCCATTTCCCTGAAGGAAGTTTACAGTTAGCTATTCCTAGTACACTAACACAGAATTAAATGATCTGTAAATTCTAGAGTAATCAAGACTACAAAGATCTAATATTTAAAACTCCTGTGTCTATCTCTTATATATAGTCTCAAAGGTTATTTTGAGATGTAGAGTTTTGGGAGCTTAGAGACTATCAGTCTGAAGACTGCAGGTATCAAAATCAACATAGATCTCATTGCACATATAAGAAAAATAAATGAAAACTAGATGATAATTGTCTTCAACAATATCACAAAAGAAACTGTGATCACCAAATAAATCTCTCATTTTCCAACTGTGCAAGAAAAAAGTCACTTTCAACTGCTGCAAAACTCATATTCTTATACAGGGATTAATAAACAAACAAATAAATAAATAAACAAGACTAAGCTCTTCTGATAATTCAAGCCTTGGTGAGGTAAGTAATCCCTGGAAAAATGACAAACGCCAGAGACCCAACAGTTTAACATATTGTGTAACACCAGGAATTCCCTATAAAAATACTGTAGTTGGTGTAAAGATGGAAAGAGAAAACTCAGATTCTGAATGTTCCCCTTCCCCCATTTCTGAATTTAAATAACATTCTTTTGGCTCTCATTTAGACTTTTTTCCCACTAGTATAAAAATCATCTTTTCACAGAAATCACTAAGGTATTTTTGTTGAAATCAGTGTATCATACAGGACCACAGCCCCTGCCGCCAACAGAATTTCATTTAAAGCACAGAAACAGACATTTCCACAGATAGACCTTATGTAATTCAGTTACAGAATTTATGTCCCTTGACAGTTAAGCTCTATCCTTGCTACAGCTTTCCCTCCTGGAAACAAACAATCAAACAAACAAACAAAAAAGATCACTAAACTAAAGCTAGTCAGTGTGTGTGAAAAAGGGAATGGGAAGCACCAGAACTGTATTTCTTTCTGCTAAAAAATGGCAACTCCAACTTATTTCTTCAGCATCCACAAATAAACAGAAATCTATGAATATGAGAGCCTCCAGGTGAACCATTTTCTTATGGAAGGTGAAACTCACCAATGACCAAGAATTGGAACACCTACAAGATGCATACTTAAAAAGAATCTTCTGAACTACTACTTCACACACCTCTCATTCCCCAGAGAAATTAAATAAAGGGGTCATTTAGTGTGCAGACTGAGATTACTAGCATGATACCTGAAAATCAAAATACATTCCAAGACGTTTTTAAAAAACAAAACACACCCCAAAAAAGCACAAAAAAATACACACCCTGACAGAAATGGCTAAAGAGAATCATGAACACAAACCATCTTTCTATTGTATAATCCATGTCTGTATTTCATGGTAATTTTAGGATGCCTGAACTTGCAGGTAAGAGAAATGACAGAAGATTAAAAACTTGCAGCCTCACTGCCATAGAGCTACTTAAAAATGGTTTATTTACACGTAATAAATTATCTTCAATGCTTCAGATTTGACATAATTTTGGTGCATTAACTGCTTCTCTAAAAATCCTATTTCCCTCCTTTCAGGATTTATTTTGGAAATCCTACCAAAGATGAGATTTGTTCTCAGTACCCACAGTAAATCACTTTACCAGGTGAAGAGTGATGTATTCTTTACTTCATCAGCCTGAAGTCAAGCTTTCCATTAAAACACTGAAGGTCAAATTCATCCCCTGCAAAGACTGCTGCAATCAATGCATGCTGAACTAACTGTAATTCTGGTTTAAGGGATTCCTTGTTTCTTCAGGGACACTGATCTACTGTGGAGACTGCTGTGCCTCAGATCAGTATGCAATTTAAAAATATTTTTACATCTAGCCACATGATGGAGCTACAACTCAGTTTAATTTTATTAAATTGGCTTAACATTGGACCATAAAATAATTAAACAACTAAACTGTTCACAGTCTCCATCATGCATGATTAACTTTGTATGCTGTGAGTTGACAGTTTATGCTACTATTAGAAAAGAAGGTATTGATCACACACTTGTATGTTGAGCAAAACATCTGCAGCACTGAATACAGCTAAGGTACTCACCTGATGAGCATCCAGATCAATAATTGTGGCTTTAGACACCCCTTGTACTCTTTCAAATAAGAACTGGATATATAAGCAAAGAAAAAGATAGATAAAGTTATGAAGTTAGGTGACAGATTACACTGGAGGCTTGAAGCTTGCAGAGTATATTACTGTTCCGATTTGAATTGGAATCATGCCATTCACCAACTAAACAGCTAAGTGACTGCAATATATTTAAAGCTCTAATTATTTCACATAAAAATTGTTGTCATTATACAACAAAACCCCTATACATTTCCACAGTCATCTGTACAGGTATCTGCCTACTTGCAGAGAAAGTCAGTGGAGAGAGGGAAGAGAAAGATTTCTACTCATTTCCTCCTTCTCCCACAAAGTACCAGACACAACATAGGATCAAGGATGTGTCTTTCTACAGCATCCCACACTAAATTGTAAAGCAGAGTCCGCAAAGGAGGCATAAGCCCAATGGCACTGAATAAGACAATGGAGCCAGGGTAATAAACCCTGCTGTAGTAATACTGGCCCTCCACAGGTGTGGCTGGTTCTCTGCATCCTGTACCAGCCAGACAGAAAAGGACAGCTCCAACTAGGGATTATAAAACTGATCATGGCATTGGTGCTGTCAGAGGCTGGAGCAGAACCAGCAAAAGCACCAAGAAAACAACAGCAACAACTGTGGGTTAGGACAGGGTGAAGCAAGAGCTGCACAGGCCCCAAAACATCAAGGAGCTAACTTCATGAGACACAAACAATAGCACAAGTAAGGCTTATCAGCAGGAAGGGAGAAACAGTCCATTGTGATGGCATACAACTGTGTAAGCATAAAATCCACCATTTAGGAAAAGCTGCTGTAGGGACTGTACATATTAAAGCTGCTTTTAGTAACAGAATTAATTTCTTATTCTACATCTGTGAAGAAAAAAAAAAATTTTTTTAATTCTTTAAGTCTTGACTTTGACAAGTTACTATCTGTAATATAGACATGGTAAAACCCAAAGATTTTGTACAAACTGTCACCCGCTGTAATTTCTCAATCTGTATTTTAATGATAGGGAAAACAGAACACTGTGGATTACTTCTTTGCAAATTACCATGTACAGAAATTAGGATGTTATGTCATATAATGTGCTGCAATCATTAAGAGGTTTTTTGTGTTTATTATTACTGATACTTTATAAATATTCTAGTATACAAATATACCATAGTACATTTGATAAAAATAAGCCCTAATTGCAGAAGGCTCTTGCTTCAGCTTTTCAACAGCTAAATACCAAATGTATTCATTCACATTCAATGATTATTTTGGAGACATTCACATTTTTATTCATGAATTTGAACCATGCTGAGCACTGTATAGTGCAGCTTGATTCAGAGAAAGGATTTCTGTCTGCATTCGTCTTGATTGTAACCACTGAAACTAACGTGGAATTTCCAGGTTCAACTGCAAGCCTAGGATAATTATCAATGAGAATATTAAAAGTCAATCTGGTTTGATTTTGAGTGTTTTTTTGCAAGATGACATTGTTAAAGAACATAATCCTGACCGTTACAACTCCTCCCTTCCATTTAGCAATTCTGCATATGCATTACGTTCTGCAGCATCAAGTACCACACCATTTTCATATTCCTACCCATCTACAGATGGCTTTATTTTATCCTATTGAGATGTAAATTTCCTATTTGTACAAAAAGTAGAAAATACTCACTTCAGAGTACTTCTTACCTTTATAGCCAGCGTGATATCAGCATATGCACAAAATCCTCCACCTTTGTCACTTGAACAGTGATGAAAACCACCCCCTAAACATAAAAATGTTGAAAAGGTAAAAAGCTAGATACTAAGGAACGTAGATAGTCTTGGCAAAGAGACAGAGATGACTTACATGTCTGGCATATGCAACACCTAGAGATGTTAAACTCTTACTTAGCAACACAACAGTTTCTGTACACACTCTTAGAATGGTTTGGTTTGGACGGGATCTTGGAAACCACTGAGCTTCAACCCCCCTGCCATGGGCAGGGACACTTTCCACCAGCCCAGTTTGCCCAAAGCCCCGTCCAACCTGGCCTTGAACCCTTCCAGGGAGGGGGCAGCCACAGCTGCTCTGGGCAACCTGTGCCAGGGCCTGACCACCCTCACAGGAAAGAATTTCTTCCTTACATCTAATCTAAATCTACCCTCTGTCAGCTTAAAACCATTACTCCTTGTCCTATCCCTACACTCCCTGATCAAGAGTCCCTCCCCACCTTTCCTGCAGCCCCCTTTTAAGTACTTGAAGGCTTCTATACAATCTCCCCAGAGCCTTCTCTTCTCCAGCTGAATCCCCCAAACTCTCTCAGCCTGTCCTCACAGGGGGGTGCTCCTGCCCCTGATCATCTTTGTGGCCTCCTCTGGCCCCACTCAAGCAGATCTGTGTCCTTCTGATGTTGGTGCCCCCAGAGCTGGACACAGCCCTGCAGGGGGGGGGTCTCATGAAAGCAGAGTAGAGAGGAAGAATCCCCTCCCTGACCTGCTGTCCACACTGCTCTTGATGCAGTCCAGGGTACCGTTGGCTTTCTGGGCTGAAAACACACATTGTGAAGTCATGTTGAGCTTCTTGTCAACCAATACCCCCAAGTCCTTCTCCACTGAGCGGCTCTTAATCCACTCCTTGCCCAGCCTGTATTCGTCCTTGGGATTGCCTTGACTCATGGGCAGGACCCTGCACTTGGCCTTGTTGAACTCCATGAGGTTCACAGGGTCCCACCTCTCCAGCCTGTCAGGTCCCTCTGGATGGCACATCCCTTCAGCGTGTCAACTGCACCACACAGCTCAGTGTTTTCAGTGAACTGTCCATGTTGCCAACAAAGATATTAAACAGCCACTCATGACATATCTTATGTGGCCTACCAGACCACAGGCCTACCAGGCTATCAGGCAAAGGATGTGCAGATGCCCAGATTAAAATGAATTGTCCCTTTCATCTAGCAACCACCCTAAGAATAAAGAAATGTACATATGCAACACATGGTGCCTCCATGAGAAAGCATACTGCTTTAAAAGTTCAGCTCCCCCAGGCAAGTTGGAGTTACATAATTAACATTATAGGCAGGTGGGAAAGACTTGTGGGAAGTTCTTTTTTATGCTAAACAGCAAGTCAAAAAGAAACCCCAAACCACAAGCTAAGTGAGGATTCCTTATTTGCACATACCATTGTCTTTTGTAAACACTCCGACCAGAAGAAATGCTAAGAACTCCTCTTTAAAAAACAAACACATTCTTTACATGAAAAAAGTACTTAGACCTCCCTCTCTCAAAACATATTTTTTATATAATAAGCCAGAACTTTTTACTAAGAAACCCACTACAAATATCTAAGAAAAAAACTTAACAAGCTCACTTAACATATCAGGAAATATGACAGGCTTTGGGGTTTGCTTTTAATGTCTATTTAATGTTTAATATTGGATATTCCCTTTGTAGAAGATGCATATAAGAAATAATGGAAAAATCCCAGAATTGATGAGCTCTATGAAAATGGCAAGCTAAGTCTTACATGACAGAAAATATTGCTTCAATAGTTTACTGGTTTTGCACTGCTATTTGCTGTGAGCAGGAGAGTGTATTTATATACACTATATTCTTCATAATTTGTTCAAGTTTTTTTTTCAGGAAAAACTGCACAGCCCAAAATAAGACACTAACCGATACAGCCCTGCTCTTCAGCATATCAACCAATCCCTTGATCTGGTATAATATACAAATTAGCTGATAAAATCTATGAAAATGACTTTATAATTTAATGAAAACAAAAGGTTTTATTGAAATATTTACATTTAATACAAATATTTTGACTTAATTTTTTTTTGCACTACTTCAATCCAAACACTTTTCCTTATATATGATATCATATATTTATCCAGTTATCTTTTTTCTTTCCAAAAAATATTTAATACTAATGCTGCAATACAGATGATAGTGGATGAGAAAACAAATCCAGTACTTTTTTTCATAGTTTTTTCCTTTAGAGTTCAGTTTAAACACCATCCATCACTTTTTGTTATTGCAAACAGAATGCGTATCATGATATAAATGAAAATAATATGATTTTAAACACACTATTTCAAGTATCATTTAATGCACTACAGTTGTACTTACCCACATTGATCGCCCAGCCTCTATCAACAGCAAGTTTTCCTGCCTTAAGAAAATTACGGTGAGAACTTAATGAATGAACGAGGCAACCATTTAACACTGTCTGCTTCCACCCCAAATGCAACTCTTGGCATTCAGACATGTCCACTGAATGTTTTACCACTGCAGGTCATTCTGAATCAGATCTCTGAATACGAACCATGCAAGACTGCCCTCAGCATAATTAGCTGAAAAAATACTCAATACCTCATCTGTATTTCATTCTCTGGAAGTTAAGCAGGTCTAAAACTAACTGCACTTTGCAGAGATGGGCAACAACCCATAGCAGACAAATGAGAAAGGAAAAGAATAACTGTTGGTAAGAGTAAAAAATGAGCAAGAATCTCCTAATATCCTTCCTGTTCATGTAAAATAGGATAGACATAAGCTCAAACCCCTGAAAATACAGATTAATAGTTTCAGCTGCAGGTGGGGACAGAAAAATGCTACAGTATGAAGCATCTCATGACTTACTTTATTATTTTAAATGATATAACATGCATAGTACAGAATATTGCCAATCTTCTTCCCTCCATACAGAAAAACTGTGCCTGTATCTCTCCTTTGAACTCAAATGACATTCAGGGAAGGGAAAGCACTGACAGAGAAGAGATACACAAGGCTTAAATTCTGAAATTCTAATTGAAAAACCTGACTTATTTTGGCCAGGAGGATAATAATGCTTAACTGCATTATTCCTCAAGTGTCATGTTAACAAAAGAAGATATTACTAGCTGTAATTTAAAAAAAAAAAAAAAAAGAGCGAGAGAGAAAAGGTAAAAGGTATTACTCTTTTCCCTAATCATGGAAAGAACATAGTATACATTGTGTATACAAAAGTAAGTTTGGACAGTTGAGAATTCTTCATCACCAATATATTTATATTTGAGCACTTCTAATTTAGTATTAAGAAAACTACTGGGAAGGTAAACGTCATCCTGTTATGAACATCTTAACTTGCACAAATTAGTTCTTGAGAAAAGACTGTAGTTTCTGAACTATAAAACCCCTTATGTAACAGGGAAATCACATTATCTGTGATTTAGCTTACTTCCTAGGGATTCCTCACCAAAAAAAAAAAATCTTTCCAAATTGCTGAAAAAAAATAATTAAAAAGTAGAGAAACTAAGCAGGAATTTTCATGATGAACAGGATCATCGGGAATAGCAAAAGATCATACTTATGACTTGCACTGTATGAATTTTATTGTCTGATGATTCAAAACTGCTTTTAAAGTACATACCTATTTTGCTATAACAAAAAACAAAAAAAGGTAAAAACAGCATATGGCATCATCAATCCAAAAGTGACCAGTGATGTCATTTGTATTTCAGGAGGCATGATACAGACACATAATAGACAATTAGTGGCTATCTCTTCTACATGACCACATTTATAACTAGTGAACATGCATTTATGAATTAAAGATAAGCACAAGCACAATGAAAAACATTACAAAACTATGCAAGAGTATTGACTAGTTTGAACCAAGTTGAAACAGATTTCACATACAAATACTGTCAAGACCCTCAAGAAATATCAAAGGCAGAATATTAGGAAACTCTTGACTCTTCCCAGTTATTTTTCTTTTCTACCATTTCCTTTGTTCCTCATAGCTAGCATACAGAAAGACAGTGTGGGTATAGTAAGAGAAGACTCTGTGTATTCCTACGCAGACAGGACTTTGCACACCAAAAACCCCCATCTCAATAACCACTACTGACTGCAGTCAGAAATACAACACAGAAGAGAGAACTGAGCAGGAGTCTGAAGTGATGCTGAAGGACTAAATGGAGACAGAATGGATCTACTTCTTTGTGAATGACCACCAGGAAGTTTTAAGCACCTTTAACTATATGAAACACATGAAACCAGAATTCTTTCTCTCTATTACTACCCAGTCTATAACATAATGTTTTTAAAAAAATAAAAGAGTAAAGTCAAACTACCTCCAAACTACCCTGTAGTCCATTGAAAGCTAGATGACTACACAGATACCACCAAAACCAGTTTGGTACAATCTCCAGCTCTTGCTGGTAAACTGCCAGGAGAAAGCATTCCAGGTGGTTTATGCAGGTTTGCATTACGGAGATGCACTGTGTTCCACCTCCAGCATCTCCAACTTTGCTAGTTAACACCTACTAAAAGAAGTAGCACTTTTGTTATCTAGCCTATTACCATAACTCAGTGAGTCTAAAGATTTATCCAGAACATAGCACGTTCTTTCTAAACTCATATATTTAAATTATTCTTAAAGGTTGGTTTAACATTTTCAATAGTTCATCTGGTTTTCTCATGCTTATGCAGACTTCTAGGCTTCAACAAAAGCATCAGACATAGCTACACTGTACAAACACTGTCACATATTTCCTTACCTCACTATTCTTTGACTTTAAATAACATGTACATCCAAGAAGACATAGCAACATAAGAGAATTAAAGTAGAATTAGGAAATAGGATTTAAGAGGCAAGAACAACAATAGTTGGAGAAACGGAGTCCAACTTTTATTTTATAAAAGAGTCATAAGCCTGAATTAAAACCAGACTCGGCAACCCACAAGGATACTTAAACATGGTAAATGTCACAGGACTTGCTATTGTACCAGTGATTTAGGAAGAAACCACTGACCATTTCTATTTAACAGCTTAGAACAAGAAGCAGCAGTTAACTCAATTTAAACAGACAATTTCAGCACCAAGGAGGTGACTTTTCAATCTTTCCCTCTACTACCCCCACATTCAAAAACTTTATGAAAGTTTTTCTTTGCTACTTTTCTGCTAACATTACAATACTCACCTTCTCCTCCAACTAAAACCAAGATTTTTTCTAAACACATGCATATCGATACATTCTTCAACTACCTTGAGGACTTCACAGTATTGTGAAGAGCTACATTACATAAATACTACATTCCCCATTACAAATAATAAAATGCACCAGTTTGCAACACAGTTGAAACATGATGATATATTCAAACTTTAAGAGCTTCAGATGCTTAAATATCTATGGCCAGTGTTTGATTACAACTTTTGATATTACAAAGATAGTTAAGATGACATGCTTAAAACAATTAACTGAACTGCTATATGTTTCTGAATCTTAACAGTATATATTATAGCCCAGTCACAAGTTGTGCAGTCCATTCCATCTCTACTACCTTTTGGTAACAAAAAACAACTAGCAGAGAGTTACTTTTACATACACATTTGCAAATCCAGCAGCTGGATGGGATACAGATTTAACAGAGTACTAATATAATGAAAAAATTGCCATTTTTCTCTGTTAGAACTACTCAGTGCCTGATTCTTTATCAAAAAAAACCCCAACAAAAAAGCAGGATATTTCATCTTGCTTTAAAAATCTGATAATAACTGGCTCTCTACTTTCATTTCACACAGTATAACCCAAGAGGGCTGAAACTTAATAATGCCTAGATCCACTTATACACACAAATGATAGTAGCAACAGTTAATTTCATGTCAGACCCACAATATTAAAGAAAACTTGGAGAACTGCTTCACCCAGCTTTTGGGCTCACTCACATCATTCTCACAGGTCAGATTCACAAACAGTCCAACCTTCTTCATTGTTTCTGAAAAATGTACTAAGAACCATACTGCCCTGCCTTTTATGCACAAGTCGTAGAAGAGCTCTTCATATCATTTATGTCTAATAAATTTTCGATACATTCACAAATATTTAAGGAACCTTGATTCCAGGGCAGATTACTAAGTATCTACATTTCTGTTGACAAAAATAAGAAGCTACCTATTAGCCTATTTCTGAAAATAATGCCATTATTTTATCATTCATTTATGGTTTCCCAGTCTTACTCATGTTTAATGTCAGACATAGTCTTGAAAGGTTTTCCGACCCACAGAATATTGTTCTTCAATAACTGGCTTCAAATACATACAGAGAAAGCAATATGGGCTTCTATTCATTTCACATGCACCCATTGTAACAACTTCTGGAAGAGTAGCTAAAATGCAGCAAAAATCTATTTGTGTCATAATAGTAATGATTTCAGATAGGATTATTTGATTTGTCTTCCATTTATGTAACTGTTACAGCTCAGTGTCTGCAAAGAGAGATCAGGACTGTTACCATCTTCTTCCAGCACCATGCTGTACAGTTTCTGAACTCTAGCTCTAATCTAACAAGGAATGACAAAAAGGGCAAAAAAGGATCCATTAGTTACTGGTTTACAATTATGAAGGCGGCATCTTTTCCTCAATACATGGTTTAAATAACTCATTCTTGGCTCCAGCTATTAACCGTTTTCTTTCCTCCTTCTTCCTCTAATAGAGATTCTCAAGCAAAATCTGGTGACGCTGACACAGTTCTTCTGATCAGAGCACTCATTTAACTGATCCAAACCCAATTCTGTTAAGGTGAAGCAGGCTACATCTCACCTGAGTTCAGCTGCGCTGCTTATGTAGTATTTACAACAGAAAAAGTAGATGAACTAACCTTAATCATTAAAACAAGCAAGGTGATATGATTTTTAAGCTTAAACACTTACCTAGTCTCAAGAGCAACCAAACCATGCATCTCTTCCCACACAGTGACAAGGCCATTTGGTAAACATGTGCTTTAAAAACAGCTTCTGTATTCTCAATTTTGAAACCTCCTGTTCCTAGAATTTGCCTGTATTTGAACACTGTTTAAAACTAATTCCGTTTCTGTATTTGCCGTAAGTCTTGCCGTATCTATCACTGCTTGCCCAGGCTGCCTCTTACTGTTTCTTCTGCAAATTACAGACCATAAAACCTTGGCAGCTGCTAACAACTGGCAAACTTTGCTCACGTTTAAGACACTAACTCTCTTCCCTCGACAGGCCTCCAGGGCTCAAGCCTTTAAGTTATACAAAATATTACAACTCACAGCTTTGTACCAGTTTGATCAATGAGTTTAAATACAATAAAAGTGAATGAAGAGCACCTTACCATTATTGTTCCTCCTGTCTGCGTTCGCAGAGGTTTCAAAACTTTTCTTTGAACCACGAAATTGGGAAGAAAGGCAACTGGTGGAATTTCTGTGATTGTAGCCACAACAAATGACCACTACAAGGGGGAAGAAAAAAAGTTCCAATTACCATAGCCTGTCTTAATGATGACATTTAGATTTCTCATCAGTTGCTATGTACTAAAAAAACTCACAGCTCCATAGTGAGATTTTTACTTTTTAATGGAGGTGACCACAACAGCTTTTATTAGTAAGAATGAACCTATCTGGAGGTTAAGTTGTTAACTATGAGAATCATCACTTGCAATTATTATCACTAGGTTTTTCAGATTTTAGTATTTAATGGTAATAAATCAGCATTTTTTCAGCAAGCTAGTATCCCTGAAATTGGGAGGGCTGCACAATGTCCTTCAGCAGTATTAATAGCAAGTTATGCTTGATATATTGTTCAAACCTAAAATATCTTTTCCTGTGTCAACTCAAAAGGATGTACCAAGGAGAAAAACAAATAAACAGACAACTCAACTGAAAAGTTCAAATACTTAAGTGAACACACAGTGCAAAGTTTAGTATGGAGAACTGATTAAAATTTATTTAGCATATTAAATACTTTTGGCAAATGTTTCAAATAAACATTTTGTTAAAAAGTCATATTGTCAAGAACATGAATTGAAGGTTAGAACACAAAATATTTGCAATATGTAAATGGGTTTTTTTGCAATCACATATAGATTACTTCAACAAACTTCTACTAACATTGCTACCAGCAATAACACTTATGTTTCAAAGCCTAAGTCACAGGCAAAAATATACCTCAGTATGAAAACCATGAATTTGACACCCTAGACAAAAATACCGAATAGATCCTATTTTCTTCAACATTCGGAAATTTAGCTAGATTCAGTACATTCCTTGCCTGATTACTGTTAGCTGTCTGTTTCCAAATGATAGGATGTAGAGGTGGTCAGTTTTAACCGAAGACAATCACATCCCCATTTCAGGGTCCTCTGATACTCAAAAAACCCTAAAGCTACTTTGGCTTCCCAGTTATCAATGTCTTAGCTACTAAGTACTGTTACGTGGGGTGGAGCGTAGGTGACATTATTCACAAAGTTCTTTAAGTACTAACTATATTTCGTCAACAGTTCATTTTAAGCTCTTACTATTTTTCTATTTGTAAAACATTATTCTGTTACCATACTATCAACTCTCCATCATTAACAAAGTGCTTTAATTGTTTTGTAATACAGTCAGTCTTGATAAAATCCATTTGCAAGAAGTTTTAGCTTTTAAATAAATATAATGTAAAAAATTAGATTCAATCCTGTTCTAAAATGGAATTGAAAAGGTCACATTTGAATAAAGTAAATTTTGATCCCACATGTGAACGATGATCACAAAATTTCAGAAAGTTTTAACACAGTTTTAAAAATTTTAGTCTCAAGGCAAGAAGTGGGAGCAATAAAGACTCAAATCAACACATATGCTGCTGCAGGTTTTTAAATCACTGCAAGAACTCCATACATGGTATAAGTGAAGAGTAAGCAAAGCTTTCTATTCACAGCTGAGGACATTTACAGAATAGTGCCAAGCCCAAAGACATTCACTGCTTCAGATGTAGTACTTTACTGTTTTTATGTAATACCTAACATGGGGGAAAAGTCATCTGTCTGTGAGGAAAGTCTTGGGGTTCAAGAATGCAGGTACAGACTGATGAAAATGCTTCTCAGAAAAACACATTATAATAATTGAGAAAATATATTGCCCCCAACTGTGGACAGTTTTGCATTTTTGTTTTTGTTTTTGGGTTTTTTTTTCTTCAATATGCTAATTTTGTTTTCCAACATTTCCTGCAATAAATTCTCAGAACAGCTATGTATATACCAGAAAAAAATGCAAAGGAATTGGGTTTATATAATTGTATACTTTTTCATGTTATAAAAACAAAAAATTATTTTGAATAGATGAGGACTACATTAAGTTTTCCAGGCTGTCAGTTGGCTTCCATGACACATTAGTTTCCTTTGATAGAGAACAAACCCTTCAAATTTTTGATGGAGGTTTTGGGTTTTTTTTCAGTTTGTGTTTTTTGTTTGGTTGGTTTTGTTTGTTTTTGGTTTTTTTTTAATCACTATTTTTTGCATTGAAATTGCATATATCTGAATATCAGTTGCATTTTCTTTTGTTAGATATTTGCTCTCACTCAGCCATCAAATTACTGATTCTGTAGTAGAGTTTTGTAGACATGTAATTATGTAACTTAACAGAAATTAAGACTTGGTCTGGATTCAAGGAAGAGTAATAATCATATATAAACACTATTCAATAACACGCCTTCACTTATTCTTTTTAGTTATCAACTCCATTTAACTCTATTCGTATTGCTAATATCATAAGATTTTTAAAATTATTTACCTTCCTGTGTTTTGGATAAATAATTCAATGTATGAATTCAAGTTTCAATTTTTAAAAAATTCTGCTGTTTTCTTAAAAGAAGTCAAGTTAACCCTTACAGGTTATTAAACAGGTATATTTTCCTTTAACCCATGCCTCCTACCCAATTAACTACTATCATTAAACATGGCTAAGTGTAACACTATACCAAGATGTTACATACAAAAAAAACCCCAAAGCAAAAAAACCCCCAACTTTAAGATTCATAAATCTTCCTTGCTTAAATTCCAAACTCTATAATAACATATATTTAATAAGGATATTCTTGTAGGACTTTACTTATAAAGTACTACTATTAACATTAATTCCCCAACTGTAAAAACTCTTCTTAGTATTTCAAATTATTAGTGTTTAAGGACTAAAAGTTAAACTGAAAAACTAATATTAGGAAGATAAAGCTGAAGTAGTTACTTTTATGCTGATACATCCTGGATTAATAAACAGCACAGTAATGATCAAAACCAACCTCTGATGTACTGCCTTTTATGTTATGCATTCATTGCATTCCCTCATTTTAAAATAGACCACATCAAATTTTTTAAAAATAGGCAATTTTGTTCTTTAATATCTAAATTTACACTGTGCTTAAATTTTTGATAACTTCCTGGAGCTAGTCCCAGCTTCAAGGGAAGATTCACAGACTTACAAATCCAACACCAAGCAACTAATTTGATTTTATAAGTTTGCCTGGGACAAAGCTATTGGGCCCATCTTCAATAAAGTATATCTTTAGCTTAAATCAACCTAAGTTAAAATCATAAAGGAGAGTAGGAAACCTGTCATTTCCACACAAGTTTCCAGGTCAATGTATGAAAGCACTATTAGCATTAGGAATAAGATACTGCACTGCTAGAAACCAGTGACAGCCAGGTGATAAACCCAAGAAAACCAACCAGTCAAAAAACAATTTTGTTGCATCAGTCTCCCAGCCAATGAGTCAGAAATAAACAAATCCCTGTTAACTAAATGCTACCTTATTCTTAAGGGGGTTACTAGTTGTTTTAGATGTAAAGAATGCCCTACAGCATTTGCCCAGCAGTGTAAATACTGAAACCTGTCAGACTGTGTTCCCCATGACCAAGTACTCTTGTTGTGTGCTTTCTCCAAACATACTCAAATATCATTACCTTTAAAATAACATTTTTGTATATTCCTACAGACCTTTACCTGACACATTAACATTAACATGAAATTTTAGGTAAAATGGATCAAATTCATCTATCTGCTCTCATGACCTTTTAGATTAACATTTTACAGGAAACCACCACTTGCCTTCATACATTTTTTTTACCAATGAAGTTTGAAAAAAATGGAGCAAGGAAAAAGCACAATGTAGGGAGCAAACAGTGACAAGGGATGACAGCACAAGAACTGCATGAACTGAGGAACTGGACAGGGGAATTCTCAGGACTTCTGAAGGTGCCCGTTTCGTCCAAACCAAACCCACACGTTTTCAGCTGCAGTGACCTGTGGTCACTAATGCCACACACAGAGCCCAAGATGCATTCCATGCTGCTTTACCTGAACAGCTAGAACAGCCACAAGTATCACAGGCTGAACCAACTATTTTATCAGCCTGCTTCTACTGCCTTAATTCCCAAGAGTCCTACCACCTTCCCCAGGCACACTGCCAATACCACCACACAGAGGCAGGTACCCCTGGGCTCTCGGCAGATGAATTCACACAATCCAACAAGAGTCAAAGTACACGAGCACCAGACAACACTCCCTAGAATCACATCAATCCACTTTTCCCTAGGCATAAAAATCTACATTGCTAATAAAGTGATTAACTTTTTATTTTTAAACAAACATAACTTGCAAATATATAAAATGGATTAAAATTTGTAAGTTCAGCTGCTCGATCACCTCTTGCAGATCACTTTCAGAAAAGCACATCTTGCATTCCACTGATGCACATGCATTATCCCTGTTTGCATTTCAGTATTCACTCACATATGTTATCACAGAACTTCTCATATATAAAAATGGTTCAAGTGTAAAAGTTATATGGTCTGAAACTAGCTTTAACCTCATTGCCTAGCTCCTTCCAAAATTTCAGAATGACGACACGCATGAAATTAATTATTTTACATAACACCAGAAAAAGCCAGAAAGTGGAAAAGTACTGAAAGCAAGTTATCCAAAGTTCAGTCATTACCTTAGAGATTTAAATTCTTCAAACGAATAACTGAGGGGGAATCACCTCAATTCAAAAGACCACATTTTGTTGTAAGGACTAGTCATGTTACCTAAAGCAGAGAAAGGGGGAGACACTTTCTTCCAGCATGGAACTGATTTCCAGTACTGCTTGATCTACTTTGTGCATACCATTTTGTTTCTTTTCAACAAACCCCCAGCCAGCTTCTTCAGCTGCTGCTAAGATACCAAACACCTCTTCTTGTAAGTGTATGGAATTTCCCACCAAATTCATGCTAAAATTTTAAATGAAGAATACTGAAGTCATCCATTATTTTAAGAGACCTAAGCATTTCCAGTAACACAAGCACCTTTGTTGTCTTCAGAGCTGATCTAACATAAAACTATGCCATTTACTGGTAGATCTGCATTTGTCTAGATTTAAAAAAGAATAGCACAGCAGACTTTGGATAAGGCAACACAGAGGATACCCAGGGCTTTTTCCTGTCTAGCCACATTATTCTTTGTTTGCAACTAAGCACTTTTATCTTCACCACTTGGCAGGAATTTGCTGGCATGACCAATACAACATCTTCCAGTTTCTACAGTTACAGGGAATATTCTCTCAAGAAAAGGGAAACAAGAGATACACAGTTAATAACATCTGAATGCACATGACAGTACTGGTTTTAAACACCAAGACACAAGTTATGCAGACAATTCCCTGTGAAGCCATCCTGTAGGTACTAAAAATATTACGGTATTCCAAACTGAGCTATACACATTACACCGTGCTTCAAAGACGTGATTCAGAGGTGCGTGGTTCTCTGGCATTAAAAGCTCAGTATCAAGAATAGCTCCAATAATATCAAATCTAATGATGTATGAAATTGCATGTAACTTTATAGCATAGAATGAAGTGTAAGAGAACTCAGAAAAAGATTGAGAGTGAAAAAAGTTCACACAAATAACAGATCCTGTACACAGAAAAATAAAACATTCCAGAATTAGCAATACAAAGACTCTCTCACTGTAGAAGGGCAAAGATGACTCAAAATAACTTCTTTTGAATTATGAAATAGAAGATTATTTCTCATACAAATCCCTTCTCATCCAGAAGTATTCAATTTTAATCCTCTTCAATGTATTTTCAATTTCAGAACCATATTTTACAAGAGTAAATCAAAACTTACATTTCTGAAGACTGAAACCCTGGTCTAAAGGTGAATATTATTTACATTGAAATTTTCCCTGTGTTCACTTAACTTTCCTTAAATAACGTTTCAGGTCACCTATATAACATGGTAGACCCTCTTTCCCCTCCACTCCTCCATAGCATTAATTTTTCTTTCAGTAATCTCAATGACAATGTTATCAAAATATACCATCCTATATCAAAATATACCATCCTATAATCTGTAAAAGTTGATTCTATAAAAAAATCTAGTAGGATATATTTTGTCTTCAACACTAACGCTAGACAGTTTGCTTGAAAAATACATTAATAAGTACAGCACCTTTAATTTATTAAGGTAGCGCCTTGTGTGAGCAACCAAGAGATCTTCATCAGTAGCCTCCCGTGCCTGTACAATCAAGTCATCTGCAATTAGTTTTTCTTCTGAAACAGGAGAGAAATAACAATTGGCATTGTATACCATCGCTTAACTTCCCATATTCCACCCTGCCAAAGAAGCTACTTTGACCTTGGTAATGTAAATCACTAAAACAACTTCTGTTTATTCCGTGTTTACAAATTTTCCAAATACATACCCTCTATGCATATAAGCCACTAAGGTAGTGTGTATTTGGTAACTTGGTTACAGAAAGTTTTCAGAGTGTAATCATGGTAACTTCTTGTTTAAACTGAACGAAAAGACAGGTAGTGACAAAGGATGAACAGAAACAAGAGAATCACAAGACCCCTTACAGTCTAGGGCTTGACACACTGGAAAATCTTGGTGCTCATACCATCAAATATTCACCATTCTTTAACATGCTTTAAGAAACGCGACAGTTGATACTAGTATTTAATTCCCTAAATCAGAGGAGAATTAAAAAAAAATCAAAATTCAAAACAATTGCTTACATGTTCATGAAAGCAAACGCTTACACAGGATATTTGTGTATCCATTTAATTTCAAGAAATACCAATACTATTAATTCTTTCCCTTAGAGACCAAAAGACAGTTTATTTAAAAGCCTAGTTTTATTAAGAGCCAGTTACAAAATATCACTCCAAGACTTCAGAATGTGATCAAAGATAACACATTTGAATGCATACATCTGGATATACTTGCCAGGAAGTTCATGTTAGGGTCAACTAAGAAAGTGAAGCAGTGCAGAGTTGCTTTGCATATGACCATGACAAATGCCAAATACAATGCATTGTGTTGATCTTCCCACACAAATTTGGATATTTAATTGCTGCAGCCATCTAAGACTGTATCTTTCTCCAATTCGATACTTGGAAGAGGAAGAAAACAACTCACAAATGTGAGAGATTTTGTTCTGAAGTGTTATACAAGAACAGCACCTGCAACAATATTTGTTTTGGCAAGCTTATGTTTCTCCTGAGGCCTGAGAAACATTTCCTTCATTCATTGGTGTCCGACAGAAAACCAAACTGTTAACAGCTTCATTCTTGAGGAAAGAGAAGTGTAGAAAGATTTTCACTGGTGATTTTCTAGAATATGATAGGGAACAGTGTGGGTCACTCTAGCTACAGAGCTAGAGAAAACCAAGAATGCCCCAGGGATATCCTGTGGCTTTTTTCTCCTTTACAAAGCAAGGAGAGTAAAACAATTGGGAAAACCAATTTTCTGTGAAAGACAAAGAGTGGACACTTCACACAGAAAAGAAGTAGAGGAAAAGACTTTACACAGAGAAGAGGCAGAAAGGCAAAAATTTTGATTAATTAAGAAAATGGTCATAGAACCCAAGAGTTAATTATTTAAGGTTGTTAGAGGGAAGATCCAAAACTTGGCTACTAAACTGAACATTAGAATTTGTTTCACCTCAGTTAAACGAACACAAGGCAGCCTAAAGTAGGAAGGGCAATACTTAACTGCAAAAGATGATAAGTTGAAGGAGTCATTAGAACCACATAAATGGAAGAGGCCAGGCTCTTGGACAACCTTTATCTTGGCAAGCGAAAAAGCTTTTTTTTTTTTTTTTCAATATGATGAGCAAGCTTAAACTTTAGATGAAAAGATGCCAAGATTTTATAGGTCCTGATTCTAACCTTGGTTCTTACATTTGTATTTCTGCCTACACCTTCCCATTTGTTCAAGCAGCAATAATGAACACCACCACAAAAAGTTCTGCCTGTCACCAGGGTCATCTCAAAGCTCTTCCCAAACATTATCGGAATACTATCATGAGGTTGATAAAGAATGGATTTATACAAGCTACACTTATCTTTCAGCCCAAAACCTGCCATTTGCCAGTGGACTGTCTGCTGTCTAAGCTGAATAACTACATTACACCCCACAACAAGCCAGCCATTAACACCTGTAGTTTTCCCAAGCCCAGTCCTTGCTATACCAGGTGTAAAGCAAAGTACGCACAAGGCTATAGGGAGCTATATATAAGGAGCTACTCCCAAACTGCAGTTCAGGTCTTGCAACCCAAACCATTTGTAAATTTGCAGCTAACATAGAAGGGCTTTCCATTCATTGCTCCAAAACTGAAGTCTATGTTCTGTTTTACATCCAGGCTTTGTCCTCAAAAGAAAAAACTGAACATCAGCTATCCTCAAGAGGAAACTTAAAAGAAATACTGTTCTCATACATCAATCTAGGACTGAAAGAAAGTGTTTGAATCATTAAAAATCTGTTCAGTATCAAAACATAACATGCTGAGCTATGTCCACAAGGCCGTAGCACTCTGCACCTAACTTGATCTAGGCTGAAAGTCAGCATTCTGGTGCTCGCTTCAAAGGTGGAAACAGTTCTCAAATATCCCACATAACCCTTTCTTGTAAAGGCCAAGCAATGAAAACCTGCTCACTTCATGCTTTCATTCAAATGACAAAGACCAGAAATATTTTAAGACGGTCTAAGACATTGCTATGCTCACATCTCTCCTTCCTCCTTTTTGCTTACAAGACTGTAATGAACCAAACTAGTTACTCTGATTAGTATTAACCACACCTCTGGGGATTGAATTTTCCATCACATTTCATGAGTTTCACTCTGCACAGACACCATTACTAAGCTGAAACCAAAACTGTGGGTTTATTTAGCAGCGTGGGCTAGAAAATACATTTTCAAAGGACTGTGAAACAAACCTTTGTATTAAAAATTCCTGGTGTAGGATGTCTGCTCTAACATTACAATTTCATCTTTTAAATACTTCATAGAGAAGAGCTTCAACAACGTGTAAGATGTGATATCTGACCCACCTCAGAAATCCTACAGTCAATTTAACATGCTAAGTCTGCAAATATATAATAATAAACCACTCCAAATATGATTAAAGAGCGTAGCTTAAACCTACACAATGAGCAATGAAAACGTACAGTCACTATTATATTGGCAATTATGAACATAAGTCTGCACTAACGACATAATTTCTATTAGCTTTTGTGCAAATGTTGGTCTAAGAGGTACCTTCCATTATTTTACCTTTCAAAAAATTGATTACTTTTCCCCATTTCCCTGCATCGAATGGATGCAGTTTCTCAAGTCCCATGAACGTGATGTTGTAGTCTGGAGAATATACGATAGGCCAGCATGCTGATGGAGGATCCTCATACAATTCAGTTCTGTGAGGCCTTGAAAAGCAAAAAATAAACTAGTCACTGCTTTTAGCAACTATTTACAAAGTCAAATGTTTTTAACTAAAATCCGAAGTTACAAATCAGAGTCCTTATTAATACCAACTTCACATTAGGAATGATTCCTTAAGATGCTATTTCGAACAGTTACTGAAGGAAACACTTGGGTTGTTTAACTTCTCTTCAGCAGTAGGGTCACAGAGAGTAACATCCTTCACTTCCAACAAGTACAGTTAAACTCTTGAACTAACCAGTAGTGGGGAGAAAAGAATGACTGAAGAATGTACATTAATGAATTAAGCATATGAAGCTCACTGCAGCCATTACTTAATAGGAACATTTGCTTCTCTCCCCTCCTCCTTCCAAGTTCATCAAGCAGCACCTCTACCTTAGAAGGCGCATCCAGTTTTACAAACAACATAACCTTCAACAAATACATTACTAGACTCATATTTTAAAAGTCTGTATCAAAAAACAATTGAAAAAAACCCAAAATGCACTGCTCCTACACATGATGCTTCTAACTAACACCACAAGGCTGGAAAGGTTTCTAGAGTCCTTTCCTAGGAGCAACAGATTAACAAACGTCTTTTGTGACCAGCTCAGCAAAAATAAAGAGGCTTGGTTTTGTGTCTGCGTAGCATACAACCACAGGACATACTCTCAGCTCTGGATGTTCATGCCTGTAACCCTTAACCAACACTTTTCTCTACCTCCCCTCCAAAAACTAGTATTCTCCCAATATGAGGAGAGATGGCAGAGCGGCTCAGAGCCCTCCTTCACAGCCTTTACAAACATACACCGAGTATTCTGTGGTCACCTGTGTGCAAAAAGCCCAACAGGCAGCCAAACCTGAGGGGCCATTCTGTGTTCATACCCAGCCTATTCCACTGGCTGTGGCGTCCCTTCGGGGCCCCGTGTGACTGAGCTAGGCTGAGACCTCTCTTGCACCCCAAAATTTAGCTGCAGTTTGCAAAACATTTTGCGACTTACTGAGCAAGACAGAAGGGTCTTTTGTCAGGTGAACAATACAAACAGAAACCCCCTTATTTCCAGCCTAAATATGCTCGAATATAGCCTTTTAAAATCCAGTTAAAAACAAAACAAAAAAAACAAACACGAGGACAATGGAGGTTTTTCACCAGTCTGCAGTCCCGATACCCACACACCGCCCACAAACAGAGCCAGGGCTCCCTGGATCCTTCCCTCGTCCCACCCCGCAATAAAAGGCAGCTTTTGTGCAATGCGATGTGCCACCCCTGGCCCCTGCTCCTCTCCCGGCCTGTCAGCAGGGCCCCGGTGCCGCGGCGACTCAGGGAAGAGCCCGTTCCCCGAGCGCTCCCTCCCGGCGGCCCGCGACCTGCTGACAGCAAGACACCTCACGCTCCAGGCCCCCTTTGTGCACTTG